GGCAACCCTCTGAATATTTGGGGAGGGGGAAGAAGGGAGTGGGCCATTCAAGGAAATCCCAAAGGAGTAAGAATGAAATTGTAGAATGGAATGACGGTTTCCAACATTTCTCAGTTCTTTTTCATTTAGAAACAACTTGAAGATATGAACAGTGCTAGATACTGCATGAATTGCAAAGATTATTTTCTTTCTACTCAGTGAGTGGAAGTTGGGTCTACACATGCACACTCACTTTAGGCTCCATGGTAGAAGTCATGCCCCAGGGCAATGAATGCTCTTGGTTCAGGACCCATGGAGTCCAATGACCTCTCTCAAATTCCAAACTCCATTCTCTCAAGGTATCACTAAAGCAAATCCACTCCAAAGGTCAATCAGCCTGGATGGTTGGAGTTCATATTGATCTTTAAAATGTCCAATAATCTCCTGGTAAACGACTGATTTTCATTTTTCAACCAGACATTTGGGAGTCATCCAGGCCTTAGTGAAATGAGCAAGCACTGGATTTGGAAATTGAGGAGCTGGGTTTAAATCCTATCTCTATCACTTAACACCTGTGTGAACCTCAGGAAGTCATTTAACCTCCATGGATTTCCATTTCTTCATCTATAACATGTCAGGGGATGAATGAGATGACCTCAAAGGTCTCTTCCAGTTTAGTCATCCTCTGACCTTGTGTGAACTGACTTCAAAAAAAGACCCAAAAGAATCCTATTACTATGACCTTTTGCATTTTTCAAAGCACTTTCCCATCTACTATCTCAGCTAATCCTCATAAAAGCCCCATGAGTAAGGGCAGATTATTACTATCCCTAGTCTACAGATCAGATGAGGTCATCCAGAGATGTTAAATGATGTACTCATGGTCACATAGCCATTTGGGAGCAGAGCTGGGCCTGGAACTTGAATCTTTTGACTCCCAATCCAATACTATTTCTATCACCAAAGAAGTCACCATACAGCAATCCCAACATCAACATAGGATATTTTTCTGACCGTTCTAGGAGGAATCAATGTTTCCAAATGTAAGTCTGTACAACATTAGAAGTTAGCCTAGAAAGGAATTGGAAAAGAAAAAAAAAGTCTACATGGACTGTTTGACCCATGGAGATCCAATGAGGATATTTTGTGTTGGGCTTCATTCTTCACCTAGAATAAATTTTAAGATTCCTCTTTGCTCTCTATCCCTACAAAGACCAACAGAAATTGGAACCTTGGTTTAAAATTTTCCCAGAGCTTCAATAGTCCTGCTCTCACATGTCAACCCCTCTGGACAAAGAAGGAAAAAATCTGCCAATTATTTAAATATTTGACATTATATGGACCATGCATGCAGGTCATTGACATTTAGAGGTTTTTGTCAGAATGCTTTAACTTAATGCAGATACAAAATCAATGTGCCTCCTCCGGGTTGTCACAAATGTACCAGGTTCTTACTGGATGAAAGTGGGAATGGAAAGATGCCACAACAATGGGGTGAAATGGGAAAACTCAAGGTAATTGACAAGTTGTTGGATCCTCGAGATACCCAGATCTCTTTGACTATTTGATCATTGGCTTGACTCAATTGACCAATTGTTTTGATTGCATGTGGACATAGCCTAAAAGCATGAGTTCATAAACGATTGTGTGTGTGTACATGCAGACACACTTTTCTAAAAGCTAGCCAAAGTAATAACTGTTTTTTGTTTCCTCTGAAGAATGGTCTTTTCAGACTTGGTTAGTCCTTGAGTTGCAAGGACAAATTCATTTTCATTTGTATGTTTAGCACCAGTTAATCAGAGTCACCAAATTCTTTCCTGCAGAAAGCAGGAAAGAGAGTAGTACAGTGATAGCACAGTCTAGATTGATAGGTGTTATACAGTGCTGGGCACATAGGGGTGTCAAGGAATCCTTGTTGGTTGAAATCATGGGAAATTAGGCAAGTCCTCCAACCACCCAGGGCTTTAGCTTCCCACCCTCTAAAAAGAGGGACCTGGACTAAATGACCCTTCGGTTCTGATATTCTTCGAAGGTAGTCTGTGCTCCACACACCTGTTGGCCACTCTGCTTTATAATGAAGGGCATGGAGTAAAGGAAAGCTTGGAATTGCAAAAGCTCAAGGTGTTGGACACACAAGTCAACGCTTCACTTTCTTCATTCTCCAAACTTCCCTCGCCTAACTCCATCAATAAACGAAAATACAGCTTTCTCGAAGGATTGAAGTGATAGCTCACCCTGGCTCTGCAATGTTCTCAAGCCTTCTCCCAGGCTCTGTGAGCTTTCTCTCTCCCTGTTCAGGTTTTGAACTCAGTCTAGGCTCAGGTGATGAAACTATCATTTTAATCCTACCCAAGAGCAGCTGTGTCCCATCAACATTCAGCTAAAATCTTTTTATTAGGGACATCCGTGGGTTTAGGGACAGAGGGATACCCTGTTGGAACTAATAGGGAAGAATGGAAAAGGTTAGACACTAGTTAGGAAGAACAAAAACAAGAGGGTGCCAGGGCACTCCCATGGGATCATGCTAGCTAAAGCCCAGCAGCATCCACACTGGAGTGCTGGCCAGGTTAACTAACACCTGGATTGATCATCAGGCACTCATGAACTTCAATGCCAGAGGCAGATCAGCCTTCTTCCTTCTCTCTCTGCACTGTTATCCCTAATTTTCCATTGGTCTAGGGCATTGGGATTGGGAGCAGGGCATTTCGACCTTTTCTGATTCCTGTTTAACAGAGACACCGCTTTTCTATCCCAGTGTTTCAGAGTGATTGAATCTATTACACCAAGTCACCACAAAGAACACAGAAAGCATCCATGACATTGGTAAGATTTTCCTATGCCACAAAGACTCTGAAGACATGCTGCTAATGGCAGGCACGTTTTGGGAGGAGACACGGGTGGCACTAGCTGGTACTGCTAACATCTTAGAAAACTAGGAGAATCATGAAAGATTGGCCGAGAATTGGGGCTCAATTCCACATGATAGAGTATATATATCTATGCCCAGATAAATACAATATGTCCTCTTTTCCCTGGTGGTCTGGGATGAAGGGAGATTTGAATTGGCAGAAGGAAGAGTCACTCATATGGGTTTGTCATTGTACCAGGGCTTATCACTGTTCCAGACTCCTAAAGCTATGCTAGTGTGGGGAACCTGAGGAAAACCCTTAGCACAAATGACATGGACCATATCGAGGGACCAACATGGAGAAAGCAAGGAGATTAAGAGGTCAAAAGAAATGGCCTAATTGCATATATGTGTATATATACACACAGAATATATGTATATATATATATATATATATACATAGATAGATATATACATAGATAGAATCAAGAAATACTCAGTAAGGTTGCTGTTTGTAATATACATGACACAAAGTGGAAACATCATGAAAACCAAGCTTTTCTGGAGGATTTAGAATTTTGTTGACTATATTTTAAATATACGTGTGTGTATACACATATACACACATATATCTACATATATATGGATATGGATACATGTCTGTACATAATGGGAAGGATATATGCACACACACACACACACATACAAGAATCCCCACTGAACCTATCTATGGTAAACCTGATGCTGCCCAAGTCCAGTCAACTAGGAACCAAGCGAAACTCCTGCTTTATCAGCAGAGTGAATTCTGAGAACCTCTCAGCTTCCTGGAGGCTGGTGTTGGACCATTCTGAAGTCCACCAAGAGAAAGGACCCTCTGGGTATATGACAGAGTTGGGGGACCCATTGCTGGTGACTGGGGGCAATTGGCCTTAATGAAGACTACGGGACGAGGACCCATGGATGTCAAAGGGGGTTAGGGACAAAGGCTATTGTCAGCACAGGATTTGGGAGTAATAAGCAAACACCCATAGGATAGCATTTAGCTTTAGGCACAATGCACTAGTATCAGCAAATCTTTATATAGCTCAGCTCTAGGCACACTTAAGGTGGAGACAAAGGAGGAACTTGTCCTTCCTACACCTTGGGTTCCAGAGAGCTGGTCACAGCCTTTAGTGGAAGGTCAATCTGAAGCAAGCTCCGGAGAATAATAAGCAGCTTCCAAAGGAGGGATTAAAAAGCAACAGAGAAGGCTAGAGATACTTGTTTGGGTTCATATCTGTACCAAGAAGGCAAACCTTTGCATATGGCACCATTCACAGTAATATCATTAATATTATTAAAGCAATCATTCTAATCATCATACCAGTATGTTTCTATATACAAAAATAGATCGAAGCAATTCTCCACAGAGAGGAGCAAGTGAATTGGGCAGGGCTGCTGGGCAGTACATGCCTGTCTGGTCCGGAAGATTCAAGACTGACCCAGGACCTGCAGCACAGATGACTTTAGTGCTCTTGGGTCATCTCCTGCCTTTGGCATTCATGCAGAATGTATGAATTTTCCCCTTCTCTTCTTCCCTAACCACCCCCCCCCCACCCAAAAAATACACCTGCACAGCCACTTTGGAGAGCATGAGTTGTATGGATGAAACAGGTAAGCAGCAAGCCAGGCTGGAGCTCCTCTTTTTGGAGAAGGTGGCCTCTACCTCAGAATGCTTTTATGAACTTCAGGCCCACTAGGAGGGAAAAGGTACAGCACTGGGGAATTTCTCCTCCCAGTAGCCCTCGATAGGAGCCTATCCCTGTAGTTCTTCCACAGAGTGTAATCTTGACCAATTGGAGAATCGTAGAGGCAGTCTCTCTCACAAGTCAGGAAGTTTAGCCTGGGTACTTGAAGTTCAGTTTAAGAAAGAGAGAGGTACACCCTGTATTACATACCTGGGACCTTGGACTTTTGAATCTGCAACTTTTCTTTTTCCTTCAAATTTGGTTCTGAGCTACCAGGTGCATTGGCCAGTGCCTCTGCAGAGGCTGTGGGGCATGGGTGGGGGGGCACAGTCTGTTTGGGGAACCATAGGAGAGATGACATGACGAGGTCTCCTTTTGGGGTCCTTGTTTTCAATCTTCCAACAGGCCACCCTTGGTCACCAAGAAGGGCAAATAGTGATGCCAGCTCCTTCTAAGCTACTGTACCAATGAGCTGCAACCTTGGCCCTGCCAATAGGGCTGCCCACGAGTGACACTTAACACTTCATAAATGGATAGGTATCCAACAGACATTGGACAGTGATCATTGACTCACTTCTCCCTGGTTCTTGAACAGTAGATAAGTAGAGGCTGTATTTTGCCCCTGCTAACAGGGGCGCCAGGTGAGAAGATGCCTCATGTGGTGCTAGGAAACAGCACCGGTCCGGGAGAATGGAAATCCATGTCCTCATCCCAGCTCTATCACAATTGTCCCGGGCGACCTTGGGCATGCTATGTCCCCTTTCTGGGGCTCTGTTTCCTCGTCTGTCTAATGGGTTGCAAGATCTTTAAAGTCCTTTTCAGCCCTAAGTTCTGTGGTTTTATAATTACATCCACAGAACATGAATCATGCAGTCTTAGGGCTATTAGTATTTAGGGAAGGGCTATATGTTCCACCCTTTACTGCCCAAGGCCATTGTGTTTGGGGGGGAAAAGGACAAGACTCCAGCTGACCAAGCCTGGATTACTTGATCCTGATCCCATAATGCCTTGAGATGTGTGGGTATGGTGGGTGCAGTGCATATACACACACACACACACTCACACATCTGGGTTTCAGGCAGGCTTCTTGGTTAATATATCACATGAATCCTTTTTTTTTGTACAACTGGGTAATAGCACAGCAAGGGGAAGAAAGCAGAGGGAAGGCATTTGGGAAAACCCCACTCCTGAAGGTGCTAGAGAAAGAGGCTGGGAGGGAAGAAAGCATGAGGAAGAGGTGGGGGAGGGAGCAGGGAGGCAATGAGGAGATGGGGGAGGAAGGAGGAGGGCTGAAGGTGTTGGGCTGGGACAAGGGGTGGCAAAGGAGATGTGGGAAAAGGAAGGGGATGGAAAAGTCAATGAGAGGGTAAAGGATCAGGGAGGGGATGAGGAATCAGGTTGGGTAAGGGAGAAGACAAGGGATTAGGGAACTGGGAGGAGATGAGGGCGCATGGAGGGATTGAGGGATGGAGAAGGAAATGTGGAATGAGGGGGGGATGAGGTATGAGAGAGTGAATGAGGGAGAGTGAGGGGATAAAGGAAAAATCAAGAGATGAGGGATGAAATGGAGTAAGGGAGGGGATTAGGGAACTGGCAAGAGATGAAGAATGAGGTAGGGGCAAGGGAAAGAATAAAAGGATAGAGAGAAGATGAGAGATGGGAAAAGGGATGTAGGATAAAGGGGGATAAAGAGAAATGCAGGGGGAGCAGATGAAAGAGCAGGGAGGAGATGGAAGAAGAAGGGAAAAAGGAGAGGATGATGGGGCAAGTTGAAAATGAGAGAGTGGAGTGCAGGTGATGAAGAGAAAGAATGAGAAAGGCAAGGACCAAGAGAGAGGAAGAAGGGATGAAGAAAGAACAATTAGATTAGGTACTCCCTGGATGCTTGCTGTGTGGCCCCATGTTACTCTTTGAAAGCCATCTCGTCTCAGGAGAAAGCCCCCGAAGGCACTGGGGAAATGAGTCTGGTGTGGAAGAAGGCCATGTCAGGGAGCCTCCTGCTTGCCACACAGTGCTGAGGAGGCCATGGGCATATGGCCAGAAGCTGGCTCAATTTGTCTTCAATGTGCAAGTCCCATGTCTTTGGATCATCTGATTTTTAATTTATTTTTTGCTTTGGGGCAGAAAAAGTTGAGAGGTAAGTGGGGGGTGGGGAAGCTAAGGGAGGAGTGGGGGGGTACAGAGAGCCAGTGAGGGAAGGACAAGCTGCCTCGGACTCAAGATGCACTTGGCCAGCCCCATGGCATGGCAGGATTGATGGGGGCGAGCCCTTGAGTCCTGGCTGGTTGGTTTCTCTGACCCCCACCCTTCCTTCCTACAGAGTGAAGGGTGAGGGGGAGAGAAGGGGCTGGGTGAAGGCTGCAAGGCATTTACACCGGCTTCTCCATGGCCCTGGGGAAGGCGGCTCCACTGGAAGAGGAGATCTTCCTGCAAACGGTGTTGGTGTGACTCTTGCATCGGCATCCTGGCCTCCGTAGGCCGTCATAGCCTTGCTGGCACAGCTTGAGGCATCCTCGGGCTGGAGGGTACAAGCACAGGCAAGGCATGACCAGTGACAGGAGGCTCATGGCTGCCCAGCGGGCACAGCAGGAGCCAGGCCCACAGGAGCAGGGCTCATCAGCACAGTTGTCTTCGTCGTCAGTGGAACAGTGGTAAAAGATACCCTTGACGCAGCAGAGGCACGTGCTGTAGTCAAGGAGACTCTCTGGGGAGCAGAGGCAGCGCTGCTTACAGAGCCAGCAGGAGGGCAGGGTGCGTGTGGCTGTGCAGCGGATGCACTTGCAACGGCCACACTCTTCACAAATGAAAAGGTGCCCACCAGTATGGAGGGACAGCTTCTCTGCTGCACCTTTCTGAGACTCTTCTACTTTCAAAGCCCCTGCTTGAGGCTGGGTACAGATGAGGGAGTGATCTGAGGGCGATGGAGTGATGCTGGTCAGAAGCCTTTGGTCGGAGGTGATGGTGGTGTGGGATATGGAGCTGGCAAGGCTGGGTTGACTCAGATGCTGAGGCAACAGCTGAAGCTGGTGGCACTGGCTGAGACTTCGAGGCAGATCAGAGGGTATAGTAGACAGGGACCAATCGGACTTGTGGGCCTGCTGGGCAAGGGAAGAGCTGGAGAGGGTCTGTTGGCAGGAGATGGCAGGCCGTTCCACATACTCATTGCTGACATGAATGGAGCAGAGTTGCTCAATGGGCAGGGTTGGAGGAAAATCGTCTGTTATTGGGGCATCCATGTTGTCTTGGCTCTTGACTTCTTTGGAGTTGAGTGAGGGTGGCACTCTGGTGGTAAAGAGGAGGGAGGGCTTGCAGTTATGTAGGCATCAGGGCACATCTGAAAAGCCTTAGGGAGAAAAGGGGAGAGAGAGAGAGAGAGAGAGGGAGAGAGAGAGAGAGAGGAGGGGGGGGAAGGAAGGGGGAAGGAGGGAGAGAGAGAGAGAGGGAGAGAAGAAGAGATGGAAATGGAAGAGGAGGAGGAGGAAGAAGAAGGAGAAGGAGGAGGAGAAGGAGAAGGACGAAAAAGAGGAAGAGGAGGAGGAAAAGGGGAAGGAAGGAAGAGAGGAGAGAGAAGAGAGAGAGAGGAAGAAGGAGAAGGAGAAGTGGAGAGAGCAAGAGAGGGAGGAGAGAGAGAAGAAGAAGAAAGGAAGGAGAGAGAGAGAGGAGAGAAGAGAATGAGACCACATAGGCAGGACCATCACCAGAGAGTAAGAAGAGGCATGAGGCATGAGCAGGACCAGTTGCCCCTACACACCAAAGAATGAAAACTCAATAGAAGAAGAGGCAAGGGAATTGTATTCATAACCCACTTGTCATCTTCTGCTCTGCCCCTCTCCCCTATCTCTGATCACTTCTCAGCATTCATGTATTTAAGGATTGACATTTTATATTTCCCCTAGGGATAAGTGCATCTTGTCTTCCCACTGAAATGCAGACTTTCACAACAGAACTGTGACATCCGCCAAGAACTGGAAGAGATCTTAGTGGCTTCCTAGTGCAGCTCCAAGCCCCTCCTCTCTAACAGCCTCTGCTGCACTGGCAGAAAGCTCTCCCTACAGAACAAGGTAGATTCCCTTAATTGTTAGAAAATCCCTCCTCATACTGAGCTAAATTTGCCCCTTTGCAAACTTTCCCACATTGCTCCTGGTTCTGCCCCCTTAGGCCTAACGGGACAAGTCTCCCTTTTCATAACTGCTCTTCAAATACTTGAACACAATCCTTGGGTCTCCCTGAATCTTCTCTTCTCCCTAGTTCTTTCAACGAATCTTTGTATGCTTTGGCCTCTGGACCCCCCACTATGCTGTTCGACCTCAGAGAACTTGACAATCTCCTTCCTGAAATGTAGTACCCAGAAGTGAACACCATGCTCTAGGTGAGGTCTCATCAGGAGGACAGTGGGACTCTTATTCTAGACATTCTGCTTTTAGTCAGACTGCTGGCTCATACTGAGTTTGTAGTCTTCCTAAGCCCCCAGGTCTTTTCCAAAGGACTGTTATCTAGCCACAATTTTCCCATCCTGTACTTTGTACAGTTCATTTCTTGGAACCCAATTATGGGAATTTACGTTTATCCCATTTGAATTTCATCTTGTTAGATTCTGCTGAGAGGTAAGTGGGGGTGGGGGTGGAGGTGGAGCACAGACTAGTGGGACCTTTTGAAATCCCAAATCTGTCATCCAATCAGTGTGTTTGCTCTTTCTTCCAGCTTCCTATCCACATTTACTTTGATAAGTATGCCATCTATGCCTTCACCAAGTCAGTGACAAAAGCATGTAAGAAGCAGAGCCAAGGACAGGTCCCCAGAGCACTCTACTGAGGACCTCAAATCCCCGTTATCATCATCCATTAATTACCAGTCCTTGGGGCTGATCCTACAAGGTCCAACAAACTCTATTATCTTCTAGCCCGGTATCTTTCAATCTTGTCCACAAGGACAACATAAAAGATTTTATCAAGCATCTTGCTGAAATCTATGTGTATCACTGACATTTCCCTGATGTACTAACTCAGTGGCCCTGTTCAAATAAGAAATAACATTATTCTAGCATGACCTGTTTTTGAAAAAGCCATGCTGGCTTTTGGTGATCATACCTTCCCTCCCTGAATGCTCACAAATCACTCCTTAAATAATGCTGGAGGATTTTGCCAGGAATGGAATGAAATCAAACTCATCATAGAGTATTTTGTCTAGTCATTTTATTTTTCCCTTCTCTGCCTGGCTGGGTTTATAGTAACGGGTGACACTTCTTGTCAGCTAATGCACGCCATATTTTTCTGACCCTGCATACCTGTAGTACTAGAACTCTGATAGAAAACTGGAAGAGAATTTATTGGCAACACATGCAAAAGGGAGCCCACATCTCCCAAAAACAGTGATCAAAGCGCCTCCTATGACATAGGGCTTATTTAGTCAGGGCTAGAGTTGCAGACAGCAGAGGAGGACCCCTGAGCTGACTCCAGCTAAAGGACTTTCAGAATAACCTCCCCTTCTGAAATGGCCATGGAGATGGATGGCCATGGTTATTTGTTGTTAGCCATGGAGGCTGTAGCATTTCATTCGCTAGGTATTTGTCAGAGGAAGACAGGCTCTATCTGAAATGGGAGGCGATCTCTAGCCTTAGGAGGCTTTGTAGGAGTTTCTAATAGTGATAATGATAATAATATGATGATAACAATAACAACAACAATAATAATTCCAAAGGACACTTACAGAGAGCCTTTCAGGGTTACAAAGCTCTTTTCATTCTTTCTCACTAGGGCCTCTTAATAGTCCCCTGTGGGAGGTAGGGCAGGTATGATTCTTTCCATTTTAGAGATCAGGAAACTGAGTCTCATGTAGCTATAGTACATGAACCCATTTCTTTTGCCTCTTAAGTCCAAAGTTCTTTCCATTCCTCCCTTGCTGTCTTTCCAGCTAATTAAAACCTTGCCTCCAGGTTCCTAAATCTCAGGGTGCTGGAGGGAACAGGGTTCTGCCTTCTCAGAATGCATGGCAATGTTGATATTGATGGGATATCTTAGGAATGTTTAGGAGGGGAGACTGTGGCAGTGTAGTGGTAGGGAAATAACAAGACACAGAGGAATAGAAACAAGGTGAGGTGGTGAGAGAGAGCACTAGGACTATGAGCCAGGAGATCTGGGCACTGTCACCTTCTGCCCGCATTTCTGGGCTAGTCTCCCTGCATCTCTAATCTGCAGCATCCTCCTCTTTGAAATGAAATGAGGATGATAACCCCTGCATTAGGTGCTTCAGAGAGTTGTCAGGAGGAGAGGACATTGGAGAGATGTGAGTGCTCTCTGTGGGTAGGGTGGCAGCTGGGGTGGGCAGCAAAAGGATCTCTAAGCACATTAGAACTTGCTTGTAGCAGAGACAGGACAGGGAAAATCAGGAGGTATGAGGTTGCAAAAAGGATTCACTGGATGAGACTCTCATCTACTTCCAATGCTCAAGAAAGGAGAAATTGAGGCCCAGAGACATGATATGACCTGTGTACATGTAGGTGGTAAGGGACAAAGCCAAGCCCCTAGTCAGGGCATTGGCCTCCTAAGTCCCAACTTCTTCTACAATACCAGTGTGCTTCTCGGCTGTCCCAGGCACGAAATGGATCCAGATGGAGCCAGGTGCTGACCTGCAATTGGGTTTCTGCCCATTAGGTGTAGGCCCACCATGAATGGGTGTCTAAGCATTGGTTTGGGTTGCCAGATGACCTCTAGATAGAAAAAAAAAGGTGAGTGAGTGTTTTCTCTGACCCTAACCTACAGGGGCAACTGGCTAAGTGCAATGACTGGCACAGAGTGGAGATGTAAGAAATGTTTTTTGAAGTGAATGGAATTGCATTCAATATCTCCCCCACTCCCATCCCCCATCGGCCACCATCCTTGCTGGAAACCCAGGCTGTAGAGTCAGCAAAGACAACGTCCAGGGTTGTCTCAGAAAGCAAAGGACGATGGATACAGAGCCTACTGGCTACCAATATGGAGGAGACAAATGACCATTAGTTGAAAGCACTGGGGGAGCACTGTTCTCCCAAATGTAATCTTCAAGGTTGCCCATTCCAGAGAGGCAGGCAGGAGTGATGAGCACATGCCAACCATTCCTGTGCCCTCTGAGCCCTTGGCAATTTAAATGGGAGAAAAGGGGAGCTAAGCAAGCTTGCATACAAATGCAACAGCCAATCAGGGGGCACCAGGCCCCAGAAAACAGGAGCAGGAATAAAAGCATGTACAAAAGCCATCAGATTTCAGGGCAGCTCAAAATAGAACAATTAGTCATACAAACTGGATGGTGTGGATGGCTTGAATGAGTAATAGAACTGAATGGGTGCGAAAGGGTATGGTTTCCTTCAATGAACATGGTAGAGAAACAAATAAAACCTATCTATGGCAGGCAAATGACCATACTCAGAAGAAAAGAGAGAGAGTGAGGGAAATGAGGAAGCGAAAGGTCTTAGCCCCTAAGCACTCAGTGGAGGAGGATCTAGCTGGTGAGAGGCTCAGGTGGCTTGGGGGAGGTATACACACAAATCATTTCAGCTGAAATGTTTGCCCAAGGGTTAATCAGTGAAATGACTTGGGGGGGAGGGGGGGAGGGGGAGGGGAGGCCAAGGAAAGAATCTCAATGCACCCAAAAGCCAATGTAGTTGTATTTTTCCACGTTGGTTATTCGGCCTCATGGAAGTCCAGGACACAATGGACATTAGCGCACACCTGAGACTCAATACCTCAAGACAGGTCCTGATTACAAATAGGTCTTTGGCCTCGGGCAAAATCACTTTCCCTCTCTGGGCTAGTTTCCTCACTTATAAAATGAGGGGGTTGAAATTCTGGTTGCTGAGGAGAGATGATGAAACACAATTCCTTCCTCTTGTCTGCCTGGTGGAGGACCACAGGTGTGGAATGTTGTATAAGCTGTCAGATATGGTCACTGTGTCGGCTGGCTTTCCCTGGTCATTTTTGTTTGTGACAAAAGAGGGTTCTTGGAGGAAGGGATATGTATTGGGAAGTGCCTATAACAATATCAAAATAAAAAGCATCAATAACATTTTAAAAGAGAAATGAAGGGATTGGAGAGAGAGGGTGGGCAGCTAAGGGGCGCCACAGTGCACAAAGCACTAGCATTGGAGTCAGGAAGGCCCCAGTTCCAATCTGGCCTCAGAAACCAGCTGTGGGATTCTGGCCAAGTCACTGAACCTTCTGTCTGCCTCAGTTTCCCCATCTGTCAAATGGGAATAATAACAACACCTACCTCCCAGGATTCTTATGAGGATTAAATGAGATAAGATTTGTAAAAAGCTTAGCACACTGCCTGGCACTTAGTAGGCTCTAAATAAACGCATACTATTATTATTATTATTGTTATTATTATTATTATTATTTGATGGAAAGAATCTCAGATTTGGAATCAAAGGACATGGATTTTCCATCCGAGCTCTGTGATTTACTACCTGTATGAGCGAGTATCTTCACCTCCCTGTGTAAAATAAGAGGGCTGGATGAGATGCCTTCTAATGTCCCTTCCAGGACTTTCCCAGTGGTCTCTTTTAACTGACATTTTAGGGTTTTCTGACTCTGTTTCTGGGAGAACATGGGTCAGAGCCACCAGAAATAGAAGATATGATTGGTTGGGAAGTGATTTGGGATCCACTGATAATGGTGAGGAGTGTGTAACACATTCGTTAGGTCTAAGCAATTTGTATGTGGCCAACTTAATCAACAGCAACACCAGGATTTGCTAAGGGGCACTGTCCAAATGAGCCTAACGTCCTATGGATTCCAGAGGTAGAGCTAAGAATGACTCTATTGTCTCCAGTAACTTCCTTGTGGAACGAGGAATTCAGAAGCATTAATATCCATCTCCTACATGGTGCCAGAGAAGTACAAATATCCAATAGGATTGAGAGGACCGGAGAGACTGTGAGTTAGACTGGAGATCCCATTAAACATTGGCCTCAGACAGAAAGACCAAGGAAGCAGCAGGGCTCAAGGATCCATAAAACGTGGGCAGCTCGGGACAGGGAAGAGAAAACGGATGACATAAGGAAAAGAAGTGAAGCATGGGGGTGGGGGCCGAGGGCACAGCACTGAGGATTCAGGACCAAGGGCCTCAAAAGATGTCAAAGGAACAAGCCAGACAAAGGAACCTTGTAGACAAAAGATTCTAGGGTTTTTTGAATCATAAGTGCTTATGGGATCTCAGGCTCCTAGACTGTGGAGCTGGAAGGGACCTCAAGAGGTCAGGTAGTTCAAACTCCTCATTTTACAGAAGAGGAAAATGCCGCCCAGAGAGGGCAAGTGATCTACCCAAGGTCACACAGGGTAGATCTGGGAATTGATTTTGGACTATCAGAGTAATGAAGAGGAGAAACACTGTGGGACTGGGTGACCAACGGGTTAAAATATTTCCCCAGGGGTGGGAGGTGGGGAAGGAGGGAGGAGGAAATAGTCTCTAAGACCAGACTTTGTCCTCTGGTTTGGGTATGGTTCTGCAAGGGGATGTCCGAGATGAACCTACAAGGTTCCTTTTAGTTTGGCAAAAGCTTTTAATCAGCAGGAACTCTCAATTCCCAAATGGAGGAACAGCAATAGAGGAGGGCTTCAAGGAGACCTGGGTAAGATTAGGGTGCTGAACAGAATACAAGATTGAATGAATGACAGCAAATTGGGTGCCATTGCAGACTGCTGAATCCAATCTAAATAACAGAAGGAAGGGAAAGGGGAACAGAGGCTCAGAAATGAACAGGCTGATGCAACAGATACAGGGAGAAATGACTACAAACATGTTTCTTCTGATCCAGAAAAACCCTGAAGCAACAGCAGTGCAATCTACTAATGCTGCTGGGCAGTTTCTTTTCCTCTTTGAGGAGGGGCTTTTTTTTTTTTTTTAACAAGGCACACACTCTTAAAAGGTGGCTTAGGAGATTGCAAATTCTTGACTGCAGGGTGGAGAGATCTTGTTATTTCAGACGGATGCATAGTGCCTCTGCAGTCATGAATGATGCATTGTAAGCCCACTCCCATCGGCATCCCTCTGCTCAGGTACTCTCAACTTCCTGAACAGTTTTCTTCTGCTCCTGGAATTTGCTCTCTCTGACCTGATGTGAATTTTGTTTTCCAGATTGCTTTGAGGGGACAGAGACAGTCAAAGTCCATTCAGGGGATTGGGATTTTTCTTCAGGACAAAATACTCTAAGCCCTGATTGCTTTGTAATGTTGAGCCTGAAGTTCCAAAATGTGTCCATCTACCTTGCTGAATGAAAACTATGGACAGTTCTGATTTCAGGGCTGAATTCCCTGCTGACATAGTGGGAATCAATGTGGATTTCAGAGGAAAATGGGGAAGGTCAGTGGAAGACAGGCTGACCCCTCTTTCCCCACCCCCATCTAGTCTTCTGGAGGTCATACCTTGTCTTTTCTCTATGACATGAGCTAACTCTAATAATGACTTCCAGCAAATAGTGGGATCTCACAATGGTCTTAACTATGTTTAATTCCTTGTTTTGACCCTCATTATCTAAAAATTCCTCATTGGACAAATTACACCCCACCTGGCAAATCCCCACTTGTCCCCTTTTTACATGACTAAGCTCTCCCTCTATGATTATTCATGCCTTACTCTAACCTATGCAGCACACTGGGTAGAGCTCAGGTTTAGGACTTAGAAGACCAAGGGTCTTCTGCTCTGCAAAGGTGTGGCCTCTGACAATTCCCTTACCTGCTCTGCACCTCAGTTTCCTTATCTGTAAAATGAGACAGTTGGTATTAGAAGAGCTCTGAGACCCCTTGTGGCTTTTAAATTCCATGATTCATTCACAACTTGCCAGAGTAATCCCATCTCAATTCAACTATCATTTCTGCATCTCACTGCAGGTTCATATGTTGCTTAATTCTTATCTCATTTCACTGCTACCCAACCTTAGCTTAGGAGCTGATGGCAGTTCATTTCTAACCTGGGAAATTTTAAGATTTCAAATGCTCAAACCTAATGAATAAAATACTTTTCACACACCAGAACATGCTGAGAAACGAGTCTTTTCTTTCTGAGGGCTCTGTGGATTTTCTTTTTCACCCCAAACTGCTTTGATGAGAGTTAAGAGATCTGGGTCTTAGGGATTCAGTTTCCCTGAAAGTAAAATGTGAGGGGTTGAACCACTAGATCAATAAGGTCCCAGCCAGCTGTGACACTCTAGGGGACTATGCTGGGGGTGAGGTAGGGGGAGAGAAATAACTAATTCTACTTCTCAGTCTCTAAGGCTTGGTAAAAACTCAGTGTTCTCCACCCCCCCCAACACACTCTAAAGCCCCTCCATTTTGAAAAGCACTCTCTCAATACAAATGACTACAGGTGCTTATATGCTACATCCCAAGACCACAAAGAAGCCCAGACCCTGAGCCAGAAATTAGGCTGAGCTTCAGATCAACAGTTTGGGGGCTTACTGTGCTCAAGCAAGCTTTTCATTGTATGTGGTTGGGGGACGCATAAGTCACTGGATCTCTAATATTTCCACATCCATGTAATTCTTAATGGAACTAACAGGATATTTGCACTTTGAAAGAGCTTTTCTATCTAAAAGTTCAGTTTTTTTTTCTAATCGCCCAGCCTGATTTTCAATATTTTACAAGCACCTAGAAGGATGGACTTCAGAATGACCAGCTCCAGAACCTTCCAGGCAGCCATTGGCTAAATTGATTTGTGTGCAGGTCCCCAAATTTGGAGGGGGGGGCAATAATCCCAACTCAAATGCCACTTTCGGTCATGTGCCCACCAAGACATAAATCCCTAGATTTCTAAACAACTCCTCTGGCTCAATGTGAGGAGGGGGTTACACTCTACCAGTTTGGGCCATCTTTTTCCCAGGGCAAGGTGATATGATGAATCAGAAAGCTGCACCAATCCAACCCCGGAACCATTAGCAGAGGAGGCCCCGGCCTGGCCCCTGCCTCAATGGTCCGCTCCTTTGGGTAGCCTGTTTGTCTGTTATTCTCCCAGTCAGCTAGCGCTGATGACCTGGAGCTGTCTGGAGCTAGGACAGCGCGCGCGCCAATAGACACACATACATACATACACACACAGACACACAGACACAGACACACACACACACACACACACACACACACACAAAGGTATTTAAAGATCAATGGGAGAGAAATGGATGGAGCTTCGGGCTTCAAAAGGGGTGATTATGAAGAGTATTCTTTTGGTTTTCAAATGTCCAATTTGGAGTTTTCTCTAAGTGCTGACTCACGTCAATGGATTTCACTGTTTTCCCAGGCTGGGTGTAATCCACAGAGCCCAGGGCTAGGCAGATCTAAGGAAAGCCAATCAATACATTGCATAGATAAATGGGGTGAGATAGAGACCTGGGTCTGTATTTAAAGCTGCTGGCAGGCTACAGCCGGGGGGGGGGGGGGGGGGGGCCCTCAACACACACACACACACATACACTCGCACACAAGCGCGCATAGACACACATCCACACACACATTCGCATCCACATACCACACACACTACATTCACACACATACACCACACATCCACACGGACACACACACACACACACACACACACACACACACACACACACACACGCTGGGGGAAGTTCTTGTCTACTGAGGCTTACTTACTTGGAGAGGAAGGCAGGTCCATGGCGAACAGGAGCAGGAAAAGGACTGAATCCCCAGGCTGGCTCAGGGGACCTTTTCTGGTGAGTCTCTCAGTATCTCCACCTCTTCAGAAAGTCTGAATGAAAACTCCTCCTCCAGCGGTGGAGCCCGAAACAGAGGTACTTCTGTCTGCGTTCCTCTGACACAGCAGAGTGGGAGGGGAAAAAAAATTCGAGACCTGTTACTGGCAGATACTTTGTATAGGTTTTACATACAGATATAAATCAAGGGGCACATATTCCCCAAAGAAAGCCAGTCAGGGCAAATTCCCTCCTCCTGCTGCTGCTGCTGCGGCTGCTGCTGCTGCGGCTGCTGCTGCTGCGGC